TAAAAAAATACACACATCTGTATTCAGATGTACAAATCTGTATTCAGATTTACAAATCTGTAGTAAGATTTGCAAATGTGTAGAACAATCTGTAAGCACACACAGAGACACTGTGTCCGAAGTATTTTCGCTTCAACACCCAGAAATACAGACACATCATTGGTTTCAAGTCCAGCGGTTTCTCGGTTGGCTCTCTTTACACACGTGATTTTTGCTACACTTCTGCCGTGTGAGATGCACAAATGCATAAGGATTTGTATCTGTAATATCTGGACTTGCTGCCCTGGGCGCAGGCTCGCAGGCTGCAGCAGGGCCGAGCTCAATTCATGGCAGTGGCTGCGTTGCAGCAGTTCCGGTGGCGGTTCCGGTGGCAGTTCCGATGGCTCGATGTGGCTTGTCACTTTTTTTGGTATTTTTCTTGCCATTTTTCGGCAAATGCCTTACTCATAGTACGTCTAACTAGATTGTTTTTTTTTTTGTGTTAATATTGTGATGTTATTGCTTAATAAACTGCATTAAAACCTTTATAATGTCACATTTATTTGATGGAACGGAGTAGTTTGGCTGCCAATAAGTGGCCGGCAGCGGGCACCACCGGCCACTCCGGGGGCAGCATCTGCCAGCGGCGGGCACCATCAGCCACTCCGGGGGCAGCATGCTGGCTGCGGGCACCCCTGGCCACTCCGGGGGCAGCATCTGCCGGCAGCGGGCACCATGGGCCACTACGCAGCCACGTCGGTAGCAGGCTCTCCGGGCACGGCCACTACGCAGCCACCATGATGACAGTCCGGCTGTCATGCCAGTAGGCTGCCCGAGTGACTCCCAGGTTTACTGACACCATTTTGGTGGCTGCAGAAGCCGGTTTTCGTTAAATAACTAATTTTATTTTTTAGTTCTTTTTCATGACGTTTTTTGGCAAATACCTTATTTATTCATTTATTTTTTTTATTTATTTTTTATTTTTCTTGCAGTTTTTTGGAAAAATACCTTATTTATTCATGTATTGTTTTATTTATTTTATCTTTTTCTTGCAGTTTTTTGGCAAATACCTTATTTATTTATGTAATGTTTTATTTATTTTATCTGTTTCATGCCGTTTTTTGGCCCCTTCCAGCAGAGACTGCCACCACAGTCTCTGCTGACATCGGCCACTGCCACTGTGCTGCCACTATGGTGCCACCATATTGGCAGAGGCCACTAGGGTCCAATCATAGTGTCAGCGTAGTGGCAGCTGCCAGCAGAGACTGACACCATAGTGGCTGCTGCCACTATAGTGACCATAGCCACTAAATGACTTATTTATAGCACCTCTAAGTAGATTATTGTTTTAATATTGTGATGTTATTGCTTAAGTGGCCAGTGGCACCTGACAGTCCGCAGCCTCTAGGCTATATATCATCCTAGAGGCTATATATATACACTACCGTTCAAAAGTTTGGGGTCACTCAAACAATTTTGTGTTTTCCTGAAAAGTCACACTTATTCACCACCATATGTTGTGAATTAAATAGAAAATAGAGTCAAGACATTGACAAGGTAAGATATAATGAATTGTATTTTTTTTTACATCAAACTTTGCTTTCGTCAAAGAATCCTCCGTTTGCAGCAATTACAGCATTGCAGACCTTTGGCATTCTAGCTGTTAATTTGTTGAGGTAATCTGGAGAAATTGCACCCCATGCTTCCAGAAGCAGCACCCACAAGTTGGATTGGTTGGATGGGCACCATACGGTCACGCGTACCATACGGTCACGCTGCTGCCACGACAGCTCAATGGGATTCAGATCTGGTGACTGTGCTGGCCACTCCATTACCGATAGAATACCACCTGCCTGCTTCTGCTCTAAATAGTTCTTGCACAATTTGGAGGTGTGTTTAGGGTCATTTTC